GTCTTTAGTGTTTTAGCTATGGAAATCATACCGCGCTGGGTTGTTGCCTTGCGAGCTGAATTTATTTCTGCTTTATTGGCTAAAAAATAGTTGGAAGTGGAGGAATCTTGGCGGCGTAGTAAATGCAAGGCAGCGTGTTACAGCTTTTATTATTGGATTACGGGCATGTTCATTGTGCAGAGTTTTTTTTGAGAGATGTGTGACTTTTGCAGATGTAAATGGTGAATTGCATTAAAGTGTGACTGCAGCAGAACGCGAGGAAAATTAACCAGGAATGAAAATTAGAATAATATTTTGCTATTCTGTGCTCGGTCGGACTCCAATTCAGAGCTCTGGTCAGAGGGATCCTTTCATGCCTCTTGAATGTCCACTGAAAAATGCACAAGGAGTTGATGTTTTCGGTCTATGTGCATGACAAAATGTGGCAAAACATAAGTTTTTGGAGATTATAATGATATGTACATAATAATGTCCTGGAATCGCTGTGAGATAATTTATATCGGTTGTGTGAAGGGTGGTCCTGGCGAAATTGGACCAAGCTCCACAACACCAGTGCTTTTATACCTCCCCCAAACTACCAGAACTATGTTATAATTTGATATTCCAGAAGCATGAGAAGAGATAAAAAAAAATCAGAAAACATTTGGTTAATGGGTTTATCATGTTTATTTGAATAAGGAAGATTGAAACTCCATTTATGCCCAGCATAAATGCTTTAGTGATCTTAATTATTGATGAAAAATCTGCTGTGCTTCTAAATTTAAAGACAGAACCATTTTATGGGAATTTTAATCACCTGCTACATTAGGAATTTTCAAGATTTGGGTTTTATGAGGATGGCATGTATTTTAGCCTTCTAAAGAGAGTTGTCACTTATCATGTGAAAACACTGGGAGAATTTGGTGGCGTGCTGCCCTGGGCTCGGCACAGAGGCTAGTGTGGAGCTCTTCCTCTCCAGACGTGCTTCTGAACGACTGTCGGATGTGATGTTTGCTATGAGCAAATTGCAGCAAATGTAGGAGGAAAGCATGGACATGAGAAAGCTCTGGAGGAGCAATAGCCCTCTGGAACCCCTGATGTGGATTTTAAATCCCCGGTATTTGTGCTGCCTCGACCCGTGTGCTCAGAGTTTGTTGCCTAAATTTGTTGTCGGCTTTGAATTTTGGGTTTGTGTTTCCCTCCTGAGCATCACAGGACAACCTTCCCCCATCAAATATGGGGCTCAATTTACAGTTTCCCATAAGAAGTGGAACCACTTGGTTAGTTGGCTTTAAAACAACAACAAAAAAAGAATTATATCCAATATGCTTCACTAGATCCTTTTGTCCTTTGGATACATTTAGCAGCTTTTGACCAGATAAGGCATATTTGTCCTCAGGATATGAACCAATAATTCAATCCTGAATTGAGATCTATGGCCACCCATTTGTTCCAGCCCACACTAGGAGACTCTGTGATAGTCTGAATTGTTTATCGTGCCGGGATTAAAAAAAAAAAAAAACAAACAGAAGGAAAATAAAAAAAAAAACCCTTATGCACCTCAGGAATAATAATTTGTTAGCAGTGGCGATATTTTAAATAAACTTGTGTAATTATACGCTTGAATCCTGCAGTGGGCTCAAAATGCAAAAGCAAAACCTGAGGCCTGGAAGCAGTTTTCGGTGTCGGGAGCCTCCGCGACCTTTTAATTCACTGGGAATTTTTATTTACGTCGCCTGGATGTTTCTCACGGAGCATGGCTGAGTGTGGAGGCTTTTATTACTGTACACATTTAAGGATCCTCTGGCATTTCGGGGCTGTTCCTCCAGCACAGTAACTCACATGTTAAAGAACAAACCCACCGTAAATTGCAGCGCAGTCAGTAAAAAGATGCCACAGAAAAAGTGTCCCTGGGAAATTAGATTGACCCAAAGAAAAGCAAATAAAAGAAAGGAAAAGGCCCATATTTTCTTTGCGGTGTTGCTGAAAAGGATGGGAGTATCATTTTCATAGTGGAATAATGTTTTCTGGGAAAACACAAAAGCAGATGTTCCTCATTAGGAACACCCATTGTCTACATATCACAACTATGAACAGATAAATCTCTCCTATTTCACCCATACATTCCAAGGGCTGTAAATGATTACAGGATGCCGCTGTAACTGCTAAACCAAAACCACACTCTGTGCTAAAATAATTCCTCCGTGCCACCATCCTATATTTCATTAGGAGGGATGGAAATTCCTGCTCAGATCCATCCCCTCGACTTCTCACTGCCTCCTTGGGCTCGGTGCACCCCAAAGCCGGGGGTCCAACTGTTGATGGTGGGTCGGCCGGGGCGGTGGGAGCGTGTCCCTGTCGGAACACGGAGTGTGGAGCAGTGGCAGGGCTGGTGGAGCTGGATGTGCTCACAGAGCGTCACCGAGCGCCTGCTCTGCAGCGGGTTTCCAGATGGTACCATCACAGTCCTACTGCTAGTTGGCATCTCCGTGGGTAGTAAATACCCCCCTCCCCAATAAATCTGGCATTATTCTATAGAGTTTAGGAGACTTATCATTCCAAGTGTGTCCTACTTTCCTGTATGGAAGCCAGACATCTGCTTATCCCATTTCTTTCATACAGAGTTTGGAATAGCTTTAGTTTGGGGGAATAAAAAGTTTTGTCATATTTAACAGCTGTTACAAAATTTCAGTCCCGTAGGCTCTTAAAATACCTTTCGAGTGACCTCAGATTTGGGAGATAATTGACATTGCTGGTAGCCACCCCCCCCTTAACCTTTCTCTGGCTGTAATTTCAGATTATTTTCCCTAAACGACTTGGCTGTTCACGCTGAGGGGTTTTTTTTTACTATTATTTTATTTTATTATTTTTTTTTTTTACGCCGGCTGGCCGGTGCAGCGCTTTAATTCCTCCCTACTCCAAGTTTACACCTTCGGCGGGGTGGCAACGCGGCGGCTGGAGGGCGAGGGGTTTTTTTTTTCGTCAGCAGCAGCGTTTCCTTTCACTTCCCGTCACAAAGGTGAGAGCCGCTGACCTTTGCTGGCAGTCCCGGCCGCTGAATTATTCATGTGATTGACTTTTTGTCAGTGCACACAGTTGTGCTCTGGGACATTTTATTCATTTACCTCATTTAAAGCGCCTTTCTGCACCTGTTCAAGTATTAATATCATGTAATTTGGGCCTAATGCCGATTTTGCTGAACACTCATTATATTTTTTATTAGCTATATTTCCAAACGATTATGTATGATTATTACCAAGCCTTACAAACAGCAATGGGTTATTCCCTAGACCTTTACATCTTCTTGTCAGGTTGTTTTCAGAAGCAAGGAGGATAAACATTTGACCAGTCCCAATGTTTTTATTCCTACTCCATATCCAACCAGAGAACTTAAAGCTTTTTCCCTTATGGCTTTGCGAAAGCATGATTAAATCCAACTCTGCAGAAGCTGTACAAATGCCAGCATTTATAAGGTCAACGCTTTTGTTAAAAATGCTATGTAAATGAGGATCTGCAAAAAGGGACATTAAATAAAATTAAATTCATTGTCTTCTTTAATGTCATTTACATTTTGGCTAAGCCCTGGCCTGTCAAGGAGGATTTTTTAAATAATTTTAATTACACATCATTTAGGGATCCAAGGTTTTCTATTCAGTAGCATTTGGATAACCTGCAAAATGGTGACTGTTTATTAACTTCTTAAATGACAACTTGTCATTTCATCTGCATAATGCAATGAAAACAGACCAGTTTGGTGTATTTTTTTTTTTTTTAATTCTTATTTTCCTTTAAGATGTGCACCAAAC